ACATAGCACAACAAAGAGTTCAAGAACTCCTTTGGCAAGAACTCCTGGTTTTCTTTGTTTAACTTGGTGTTTTCTACAGATTTGGCTGTGGAACCTTTTTTCACACACAATCTATTAACATCCTTCTGAATTGGTGGTCTGTGGGGTATGTTTTGTGAAATGTTGCTCTCTGAGGCTGGCCCCAAAAATTATTGTATGGGTTACAAAGATGTGGTTAAACTGGCCTCATTTAGGCCTGCCTGCTTGCCCAAGGCTCCCCTCTGGACTGTCTCACCACTATAAACGACAGCCCACCACAGGATGAATTCAATCACAAGACTCACTGAAAGGAGTCAAACCACTGTGGGAGCATCTCCCTTTCCTTCCAATCTGTCTGACTTCAGGGTAACATGATAAAAGGATTGTCAGAGCCCAGAGAACAGCTTGTATTTATTTCTTGATACATATGTGCCTCACATGGACTCGGCCGCTAATAACACACACACTCTGTTGGTCTTGGACTTCTGACTACAGTCTATAGACACTTCGCTAATTTCTCCTTGAAACATTCACCGAACTATGAATCCATCAGGGGCCCTCCTCATCACTTATAGACAGCAGGCATCTGCCCGTTGATGTTATAGCCTCAGAGATTAAGGTCAAAGAGCTTTGGGAAAATACAATGTGCTAATGACTCACTTCACCACTGTCTATCCTGAGGAAATGTGAATAAAATAAGCAGACATTTCCGTTTTGAATTCAATCCCAGTGATATGAGCATAGTAAGGGGACAAACCAGAAATCTGATTCTAAAATGCATAGGAATGGGTCCCAAACTGGCTTACAAACTCAGATCAAAACAGTTGAAATTTTTACTGAAAATACTAAGCTGACTTAAACTAGAAACTGCATGATTAGTTCTAAGAGGATACCTAGGATAGTAAGATAGCAACCTCAAATCAATTAAATACCTACCAGGTCTCCCTGAGCCATTGACTATTGGAAAATATGATTTAGAATCATATAAAGAAAGTCAAGGATCCAAAGTTTCCTCTGGTATGCGGATGCTAGAGCAAAGTCAAGGGCAAAGAAGGGGGTTGAATCTCACAGACACAGAGAAAAGATCAGTGGAGCAGAAGGAGACTGAGGGGGAGGAAGGAGGGAGGAGAAAAGAAAGGAATGTGAAATGAATTTGACAAAATTACACTATGTGCATGTATAAATATACCACAGTAAATTCCACCTTTATGTATACTGTTAAAGCACCAATTTTTTATGAACTCCCACCTTCCCCCCATACACAGATTGCAGAATCACATCAGTTACACATCCACTGATTTACATATTGCCATACTAGTGTCTGGGAGTTCATAACCCACTTGAATCAAAGTGTGGAATATGATATGTCAAGAAATTTGTAATGTTTTGAACAACCAACAATAAAAAATTTTAAAAAAAAGCACCAATTTTTTTAAAAAATGAATAAATAGAAGGAAGACCACTAGAGCAGAGGAAGAGGAATAGGGAGAGGGAGGAGAGGAGGAAAAGAAGAAGTGAAGCTCTGGGGACTGAAATGGAGCAAATTAAATTCCATTCATGTATGATTATCTCAGAAGGAACCACACTATTATGTGTAACTATAATGCATTAATAAAAAGTTAAAATTTTTTGAAGACTCATTAAGTACTCCACACTTTCTCATATTAAATCACTCAATATAGCAGGACATTACGATAAACCTCTGGTAGGTGGAACAAAAAGAATATTATTATATTTTTAAAGTATGGAACATCAAGTCAAGGTGACGCTAGTCTTAGTTCATAGGTTCTTTACAATTACATCCCAAATCCTATACAATAGATTCTTTACTATTGCATCCCAAAATACATAGCAAGAACAATAGAATCTAAGTTTCATCTCTTTGCACCTACCTTACTCTCATACGTATTTCCCATTTTTTTTTCTAGAAATAAATATGCAGAAGAATTCCCTTAGGATAATGGAGCTGAAGGGAAATTTAGAGACAATGCTATAAATGAGCATCAATGCTTCATAAATAAAGAGATTGAGGGAAAGCATGGTGAAGGAATGGGAAAAAGCATTACAGGGATTTTTTTTTTAATAAAACCCTTAATGGATATTATCATGTTGCTTGCCAGAATTCCAAACATTAACATTGCATTGGTCACATAGATTTGAGTGAGAATCCACACAAAAAAAGAACATGCACTGGATTTGAAAATTCATAAAAAGAAACACCTGACCTGTGGTTGGGAAAGTCAGGGTATTGGATACTTTTGGAAAAGGAGGAGAAATTAAAGGTTGGGAAGGGACAAAGGGGGAGAATTCAGGAGTACAGGTTATACTCTATTTCTTGATCTGGGAGAAAACTACCCCATTGTGTTCACTTTGTGATAACTCACTGAACTCTACACCCCTGTAATTCTACGCCTATAATTTGTTCATTTTTCTATACACAGGTTATACTTTTATAAAGTTTATCTTAAAATATAATTATTCCATTCTCAGTATAATCACCAGAATTGTTTTTTCACCAAAACATTTAAATGTAGGAACAATATGGCTCTTACATTTAAATGTAAAGTGACCTCATAGTCACACAAATAAGGATTTCAATCTGGTTTTTTTCTCAAGCAAAATCCACATATACTTGCTAAGTCACTGTAAACCATCCGAGTGTAGTGAATGGATATTTTAAATGTCTCACTGTTCTATCCATCCCTATATCCAGGCTCTTTGCCATGACTTTGCACCTCCCATGTAAAGGTGGAGTCTATTTCCCCACCCTCTGACACTCTAGGCTAGCTTTGTGATTTTCTTTTGTCACTAGAGTACAGCAGAAGCAGCTTTGTCAATTCCAAATCTAGACCTGAAAAATACTGTGTGCTTCCACTGTTTCTCTTGGAATCTTGCCACCAGTATGTGAACAACCCAAGCTAGTTGCCTGGAGGATGAGGGACCACATGGAGGAGAGGCAAGTCATCCCAGCAGATGCCATCCTGGACCTTTCAGCTCCTGGCACCAACAGCTGTACGCAGATGCATGACTGAGCCTAGTCAAAATCAACCATGCCTGGCCCAGCTCAGCAAAACTGTCCCAGCTGTCTCCTGGAAGGATGAAAGTTAATTCATGATTGCTTTATTAAAGACACTGTTAAGCAATAAGGCCGGGGGGAAAAAGTGGTCTGAGAAGAGCATCTCAGAATTCAAAGGAGTCAAACTTAAAAAATAGACAAAAACCTCTAGGACTATAACTATTCTACTTGTTAAAGATTTCAGAATAAAACTAAGGAGGTAAACAGCCTATTGATAGAGAGAAAGATCATTTTAAAATTACAAAATAGACAATTTAAGACAAGCAAATCTGCTATACAAATAAACAAGGAAGTTTAGAGAACTCTAGGACTTTCAAGCCAACTACTGAAATAGGCTAACAGAAGAGTTAAATCGAGATAGCAAAAGTACCAGACAGCATCTTATATCCTCCTAATGCTGGTGTTTATAGAGCAAAGCTTTAAGTTATGGCTTCCCCACCTGTAAAAAGGAGATGCGGTGTTGTAAGAAATTAATGAGATAAAAATGCACATTAAAAGTACTTTCATAAGCTGACAAATGTTAGTAACACAAAGAAGAACTGGTCTTCAGAGTTTGCCACTTTCCAACTGTGATCTTCCATTACTTAATTATTCTTTTAACCTCAGAGTTCAGTTTATTAGTTAAGAAACAAACAAACAAATGAAACTACTTAACTTGTACCCAAAGCTAGCACAATATGTAAGTAGGTAGATAAAAATGATGTCTAGGAATAATGAGCAAGAAGTAAATTTACTAATATTAAGAAAGGGAGAGTTATCAAATCAGCATTATGCAAATAATACCATATGGTTGGAAGAGTCAGGGTATTTCTCCTCTGGAAAAGGAGGAGAATACCATAAAAAGAAAAGTCCCACTAGTCAAGAGTCAAGAGTCAACTTTACAATATGACTTCAGCCTGGAGGACCTAGAGTTCAAGTAGAAGTTTCAATAAAACCACCAGGTTACCAAATTGCTACTGTGAAAACAAACTTCCAATTCAAGGTGAACTTAAGAATTCTAATATTTATGCGATTGGGGGTGCAGCTCAGTGGTAGAGCACTTGCCTAGTATACACAAGGGTCTGGGTTCAACCTAGGGGTTGAACATGCACACACACACACACACACACACACACACACAGTTCTTTTGTTATTCTTCTCCACATTTTTTTAATGTGTATTATAGCTGTACATAATGGTGGGATTTGTTGGTATATACTAGTACATGCACACAATATAACACTATAGTTTGGCCAATATCCCTCCCTAAGAGTTCCCCCACCTCCCCCTGCTTCTCTATTCTATTGATCTTACTTTGCTTTTCATGTAATAACCCCCCACCTTTCTTTTCCTTTTTCCTCTCTAGCTTCCATATATGAGTAAAAACATACAACCCTTGACCTGAGTTTGACTTATTCTGCTTAACATAATGGTCTCAAATTCTATCCATTTTCCTGCAAATAACATAATTTCATTTTTCTTCATGGCTGAATAAAACTCCATTGTGTTTGTGTGTATTTTTTTCCTTATCCATTCACCTGTTGATAGACACTTAGGCTGGTTTCATAGTTTGACTACTATGAATTGTGCTGCTATAAACATGGATATGCACATACCAGTGGTATACTGACTTTAATTCTTCAGGCTGAATACTGAGGAGTGATATAGCTGGGTCATATGGTGGTTTCATTCCTAATCTTTTAAGGAATTTCCATATTGATTTCCATAGTGTTTGTACCAATTTAGAGTCCCACCAACAGTCACACACGCAAAAAATTCTAATGCTTGTTTATTAAGAAAGCAATCAGAGCTTGTGCTGGTGCTGGACCTGAGAGCAGAGGGGTGTGATGCACCTTTGGTGTCACCTTGGGTTCAAGCAGGGCTGCACAGGTGCATAGGTCCTGGAGACAAGGGTCACTGAGTGACAATGGCAATGACGGTGAGTCCCAGAATAGGTAGGATGGAGTGGAAGCCTCATATCTTTCCTAAGTCCATCAAGTTCCTGTTTGTGGGCCTGGCCGGGCTCCAGCAGGCATTAGTTCATCTGGAATATCTGACTCTTGATTCCATTCCTGCCTTCCCCGGGATGGGAGCTACAGATTTTGTTCAGCCTCTAGACCTAGTGAAGAACTGGATACAGCTAAGCAGGGAAGGGGCCAAGACAAGAGAGTATAAAATCAGCTTCCATGCCCTCAAAGCATCCTGAAGGGAAAAGGACTAATAGGCATTTACACTGGACTGCCAGCTGGTCTCCTGTGCCAGGCCACCTACATCACTACTTGCCTTGGCATTTATACCCTGCTTCTTGAGTGCCTGACCAGAGCTGATGGTACACCCCCTGACTTTCTGCTTCATGAAGGTCCTGATAGGCATGACCACAGGTACAACTGGTGCCTTTGTAGGAACACTAGCCAAGGAGACTCTTATCAGTATGACTGCTGGATGGTCAGCTTCCAGCTGACAGACACCATGCTACAAAAACATGTTTAATGCCCAGAGTCCACCTGCCTGAGAAGAGGGAGTCCCCATACTGTAGCGGGGCTGTATCTCTACAGTGGCTCAGGCTGCCCAGCTTGCCTCCTACTCCCAATCTAAGCACTTCTTACTGAACTCAGTCTACTTCTCTGACAAAATCCTGTGCCACTTTTGTGCCAGCATGATCAAAGGCCTCCTCACCACTGCCAACCTTCATCAGCACATTGTGAAGACTTGGATCCAGAACATGCAAATGATTGATGGGAAGCCAGAATACAAGAGTGGGCTGAATGGGCTGATGAAGGTTGTCCACTGTGAGGGCTTCTTCAGCCTCTGGAAGGGCTTCATACCATACTAGGCCCACCTGGGCCCCCACACTATCCTCATCTTCATCTTCTTGGAGCAGATGAATAAGGCCTACAGACATCTATTCGTTGGTGGCTGAGGTGGCAGGGGACCTGCAGCCAGTGTGCAGGGGCACCCAATCAGCCATTGCTCCTACAGTTGCTACAACCCAGGGAGCCTGGATTCTGCTGCCCTGGGCCCCTCTATTTACTTCCTCTCTGAAGTTTGGTTCTCTCCTTGTGGTAAAGGACTTTGGTCTGTCCTACCCTCTGCTCCAGTTTGCCCTGCTTGGTCTTGATTTTTATGACCACTCTGTCCCTAGCTGTTTCTTTAGAGAGCTGGGAAACTGAGTATTTCTAGATTCAGCTTAGGTATTAGTTTTAGGACACAGAGGAGAGCAGAAGAGGCCCCTTCTCTGTGGGGAAACCAAGGCAGAGCAGAGGAGAAGATGAAAGCAGAAGCTATCAAGATGACCAAAGGGTCTGCAGTGGGAGGGTGTGGCTATAGCCCTTCCTTCCCATCACTGAGGACTTAATTAATAAATTGGATTGAGGACATCAAGAAGAAAAGAAAGAAAATAATCAGCATCAATGATTTGAACAGGAATATTCTCCATGTGAGAATGATTTTTATAAATAATCTCACAAAATTTTTTGAAGAGTTAAAGATTTTTTTAGCATGCTTAAGACATTAAATGACTACTTAAAAATATGAAATAAGAACAGGTAGCTATGAAAAATAATTTATTAGAAATGCTGGAAATAAAAACACTCTTAAAATTAAAAGTGCAACAGAGGGGATAAAGCCTAAATGGACATAATAAGGCAGAAATTAGAAAACTGGAAGATGAACTGAGATATTCATTCAAAATGCAGCAAAGAGACAGAGAGGAGAGCAGAGTGGAGAATAAAAGCACAAAGACTTAAAGAGACATGAAAAGTAGAGGCTCTAACATTTGTCTAATAGGAATTTCAGCAGAAAGGAATGATACAAAATAATAGGTGACCATTTTTTAAATTTGAGGAAAGGCAAATTTTCAGACTGACATTCTACTCTACTAAATAAAATAAAGATAAATCCAAATATTGACACATGATCTAACTGCAGAACATGAATTAAGAGAGGATTTCAAAACACAGAAAAGATTTTTTCCTACAGAGGAAAAAAGTATTGGAAGTCAGAAGATATTGGTATAATGTAATTGAAGTACTTTTGGAAAAGAACTATTAATCCAGAATTGCATATAGCTAGTCTTCTAAGACAATGAGTGCAAAAATAAAGATATTTTCAGACATGTAAAGTATATGTGTCCCTGTGACCCTAATTTTATAAAAGAAGTGCTAAAGGATATAATCTCAAAATATAGATTTGCCAAATAAAAAATGTAGACTGACCAGTTAAATTTGAATTTCAGATAATAAATAAATAAATAAATACTTTTTGTGTAAGTCTGCAATTATTTGTTGTTTATCTAAAATTCAGAAGTGGATCTTCTGTTTCATCTGGCAAATCCTCCCCAAAGAATAAAGGACTACAGGAAGTAAGCCCAGGATATAAAAAATAATGCCAACTGCCAAAATTAATTTTTAAAAGTCTGTGAATTCATGTAATGTTAAATGAGTGGAAATAAAAACTTTCTATATTTCCATTAACCATACCTCTGAAAATTATTGTAAGATGAAGATTCTTGTCTAAGCCACAGATCCACATTCTTTCAAAGACACAAGAGATTGTCATAAAGGCCTTTGGGGGGCGTTCCATTGACAAAGACTCCCTGCGGGACCAAACTCTAGTCAGGCCTTCCTCTGTTCTCAACTAGGCCCTGACTTTGGGCTTCAGTGTATTGTCCAGTTTTAGCAAAAAAAAAAATCCTGCTGAGTCAGTTTAGCCAGAATCCTCCAGTCTCAATATCTGAGTGGGTGCTGCATCTTCCACCATCTCCCAGGGGATGTCTGAGTATATCCTTCAGCAAAAACATCTCCTGGTTGGGTTAGTCAGAATCTCCTTTGTAATGATGTTCCTCTTAGTAATTTCCCATCCACTGACACCCGACCCTCACTCCTGGGCTATAAATTTCCACTTTTCTTGTTGTATTCCAAGTTGAGCCTAATCTCTCTTCCTGTTGCAAAACCCCCTCGTGGTTGTCCCTGCACTATAGCAATAGTCCCTCTGAATAAAGTTAGCCTTGTTCTTTTTTCATATGAATGATATTATTATTTTAATTTAGCAGGGCTGGGAACTGAACTCATGGCCTTATACAAGCTAGGCCAAGCACTCCATCTTTGAGTTTATTTTATTATCTAGACATTTATTACTTCTTATTCTTTTAATCAACACATTAAAAATTACAGACGCTGTGGAATACCATGGGATGTTTCAAAAATCTGAAGCACTTCATGAATTTGCTTGCACAGGGGCCACGATAATCTCTATTCTCATTCCAATTTTTGTATGTATGCTCCTGAAGTAAGCACTGCTTTAGTATTATTTAACAGATGTCATAAACAATATTTTTTCTTTAACACCATGTTAAAATTAGCATAAATCCAACAATTGTTTCCCACAAAGTGCACAATTTATTGCCAATAATTACTGCAAATGGTGCATGTGATTAATTACAAGAGACTTGCCTTAAAATTCTTAATCACTTCATCTCTCACCCTACCTATTTGAATCCAGCATTTTGCTATAGATCATAAATATTCTTTCCTCCAGACATGCAGGTTTTGAGGGTTTCAACTGCACTTTCTAGTTATTATTTATCCATTTTTCTCAAAAAAATCAAAGACCAGCCTTCCCCTGCCTACTCTTCACACTGAAGTTCACACTCAACATTTTGTAGTTATTAAGAGAACTGAAATGCAAGCAAGCTCTTTCTAACCATAAGGGCCTGTGTATAGCTCATTTATGTGGAATATTGATCAAGACTGGAGAATCCCATTTAATAACAGAGATATGCCCCAGGAAATGTTCATTCTCTTTCCTTTGTTCAAATAAAATTTGGTTTCTAAAGGAAACCCTTCAGTGAAAGTTTTGATAGTGAGTATAATTGTGCCCTGATCTATCAGTTTTGTAAATTAATTTTATTAAGGCAAAACAACTAGTATAATAAAACGATGCCAAATAAATTCAAATTGCTTTAAATTCTAAGGATAGGAACAATGTCTTCCTCACAATCCATCATATATTCAGTTTATAGCTTAGAGTACGCCATCAATTCATGTTTGTAGAATACTAATAAAATAAAGTTTTCAAGATTATCCATGAAAAACTAACATACAGGCAGCAGATTATAAAAGTGTAGATGTTGTCCAATCATATTTTGACATTACCTATAACCCCTTGGCACATGCTAAACATGTAGAAAATACTAAGTTGATTTTTCTATCCATAAACTTGTAAAACTAATAAGTGATTTTAGTAGGTCAAGAGACATTTGCCATTAATAAAACATTTTACTAACTATACTGATCTCATATCCTTTTAGAAACAAATCCTATTTTTAAAACCTAGATTTACATCTGACTTTTTAAGAATGCACTTATCCTAAGGCAAAGTTATGGGCAAGGGAGAAATACTCAGATGCAGGGAACCACTGAGCTTTAGCATAAAACAGCAAGTGAGAAGTTCTTCCATTTCCACAAGGCAATATTTCATCTCTCCAGTTCTAAATCAGACTGTGAGCAAAATAATCAAATGACAAATGCTACTCTAGATGCACCAGGAAATATTACTGTATTGTTTGATATGATAAATGAAACAAATTATAACAATTTCATAATGTTGAAGGTAGAGAGGCAAGGTTTAGCTCTCCATGGGTGGACACTTAATAAATCATTCCTTTGAAAAGATAATTGCTGGACCACTAGAAAGAAGGGGGAAAAAAACAACTTCGAGGGCAATTATTTGAAAGCTCCTCAAATTAACTTGTACACAGTTGGTCCTTTGTTACAGCGCACACATTAGAGCATTAGCTCACTTTGTTGAAGGAAACAATGTAATTCTAGTTATTAATCACTTTCATTTTAAAAGTTCTTTGTAAACTGAGAAGACACTAGACTGTAAGCCCAGTGTGAAACTCACAAGTAATTGGATGCTTAATGGGTTCCTTTTGAAAATTTTGTTAGGGATAACAAAATCAAATAGCTTCAAGGCTCTAGGGAAACTAAGGGGTACATACATAATGTGAGAAATTTCTATTTCATTTTATCAACCAATAATATCACAAAGGGTGTGAAATTAAGCCCTTCTCAAAAAAGCAATTTTACTAGATTAGGCTGAATGAAATCATAGTATTTTTATGAGTCAAACTTCTCTGTAGTGTAATTTAGCAGTACCTTCTTAAGGCCCAAGGGATAGAATTTTCTATGATACTTCACTTCAGAATCCTTGCCAAAAAGTGTAACACTGCTTTGCAAACATCCTCCAGAGACCAGATTAGCCATTCTTTGATGTTATCAACTATCAGTGGGAATAATCAGGTGGAACCATCTGATATGCTCAGCATGAGGAGACTTGCTAAAGTCTCTGTTGGCCATACCAACAGAAGGAAAATGCAAAAATCTGCAGTATTTTAAAAGAAGTATTTTTTTTAAATTTTCTTAACTAACATAAGAAGTGATTACTTGCAAATTTTCATTTCTAAGTGATACATTCATAAATAAGTGAACCTTGGAACTGGCCAGTAGGAGAAATATATTGAAGAATCATCTTTTTAAAAAATTAAAACCAAATTAATATTAACTGCTTTGACTTCTACTAGCTCTCACAACATCAATTGCTCTATCTTTTGTACTAATTGCCTACTATCTACCTTAGTAATATCTTACAAACATATATAAAACAGATAAAGGTTGCTAAGCAACTCAGTGAGACCTGTCTCTAAGTAAAATACAAAATAGGGCTGAGGATATGGCTCCGGAGTGGAGTGCCCCTGAGTTCAATCCCTAGTACTTCCCGCCCCCCACCCTCACTCCCATGTCTTAAGAGTGTAATCCTAATTATCTGTATGACTGTTATTTACTCTTTCTCTGTCTCAGTTTCCAACTGGTGTTGAGCCCTAAAGCTACAGGATCATTCCAAAGATTCAAGGAAGTGCAT